ACCAAATGGTGAGAGAGTTTAACAAAATGAATCGAAATACATGTACGCAATGAGACAAGAGGGTGTGCTATGTATCAGAAAAATATAGGGGAGCCCTACCAGGTTCAAAGCCAGTATTGTCTAGCATTCTCTTCCTAGGGAAGCCACCTAGATGTCAATGAAAAGCCTGTATTCCATATTTGTTTATTTAAGCCCAGACTGAAATGTTCCTGTTATGAGATTACATATTTATATTTGCAAGTAGCATTTTTCTCAGTCTTTGTGGCTATTGCAATTCACAGTAGCCCCAAGAAATGCTCTTAAAATGCACTATTTGGGGGGGGGGGGTAGTAGAGAGGTTGTTATTATGCACATTATATTTGAACTTAGCCAAAAACCTGACCAGTTTATTAGAACTTCTTGTTTTTCCAATATCATTATTCAAATCAATCTTTCTCTCTCTTTCTCTCTCTCTCTCCTTCTCCCCACCCCCTGGCAATCCAAAAGGGCAACTTGGAATTTTGTAAGAAATATGGAACATTCTTTCTAGCTTCTATGCTGTTTTCTGGCTTCAACTGAAAAAGTGCAAGAAGTTTCAGTAGCTCTGCAAAGCAAGGAAATCCTACACCTCATTTATTCATTTTATTCTTAAAGACAGACACACCAAGCTCATCCCATATTCCGTGTGTACAACAGAGTCATGTATCTATTTCTTCTCTGGCCCAATTCCCCATCCTCATACATAGCTACAAAAATATTTGAGGCCCACAAGATCAAATGTAGGGATCCTGCCAGCAATATGGATGCTAAACATAGATTAGGAATTCAGAATCTACCGAGTTCTTGCTAACTGAATTGTGCTATTTTTTTTTTAAGTGGATGTAATTATTTTATTCCACTTTTCCAGACAGAAAACCATCCTTAATGCAGCTCACAGAAGGAACATAGAAAAGCTATTAAAAATACAAAACATTTTAATTCCAAACATTTTCTTTCAGCTCGAGCTTGGTTGTGCCTCACTGGAGGGCCAAATGAGACTCCGCTGGCTGGAACATCGGCTGAAACAAGCGTTTGAGTCCCCAGCTCTGCTCACCAGGGCTGGTAATTCTCCTCCCTGATTTGGCTCACTGCAGACTCTCAGCCCACACTTTACTCATGCTGGGCTTAGAGAGAAAACATAGCCAAAGTTAACAACGTATTTTTTTTAATTTAAATTTAAAAATGGTGGGGGCTATAAAACATTATTTCACCACCATAAGGCCCTTACCAGAATTCCTTATGTTATCTATATACAATATTTTGGGGAATATCTGCAATAAAATATTGTACAAGACCCTCTCAGTCCCACTGAAAAGCACTGATGTTGGATGAGATTGGTCTCCTTATTCTCCAAGGTGACGGAGGGGAGATTTCACAACATCCCTTAACAACAACACCTCTGCATATGTTCAGATCCAGAGCGTGAGTCAGTCACACATGTTCTTTCAAGCTGCCTCCTGTACCGTATGTGGCACCTAGTGTTAATCCTCCAGATTATCAGCAGATATTCCAATCATAAATTGTGATTTTCCTATCAAGTGACCAGTTTAGATAAATTGCTAGGAAAGTTCCAAAATTCTGAGCTGAAGCAATCACAATCAGATGATCTCACATAGGTTTAAGAAGCCCAGCAGGCCCTTTTCTACTCTTTATTCCTTTTCCTGCTCCCCCACTTGCTCCTATCATCATTGTCATCGTCATCTTTTTCCTCCCCTTTGCTTTTTTGATTCATTGTTCAACTTACCACTATTCCCTTTATCTGATTTATCTAATTTCTCACCGGTCTTTTGGTCCATGGCTTTTAATTAACTACAATTCCAAACAGTTCAAACCCAGATAAGCAATTTACAGCTAAGTTTAATGGGGTACCCTACAGCTCCCTAACTGGATTCTAACACAGGTCTGCAGCAAGGTGAGAAGAAAAGTGGAATATGGATGTTGGTCTGAACAAGGATGGCTATGGCTGGGTTCAGATGTGGTAATTAGTCACATATAAAGATTTGCTGGACAATCCATAGTGCCTGCTTTGCACATAGCACTGAGGCACAAAAAATAACTTAAATCTAACAATGGCTGTGTTTGTTCTGGGCAAAATCAAAATCACCTTATAGCTTAGCATGGTGTGTAAAGCCACTGCTTTTCTTCTTTCTTAAGTATATCCATTTACAGGCACTATGGAAATATTTGTATAGAGCTGTATTTCTGTCAGTCTGGTCTTATGCAATCTGTGGAGCATCTGCATTTAATAGATTCTGATACTAATTCCCATAGGAAGAATGAAATATTTCCTGATCCTAAACAGGCCCTCATGGATGTAAATACACAGCAAATTTAACTGTCAACTCCCACATTTCTACTTTAACTTAAGTGTCTTAGCTTAAGTACTTGCTTCTAATACTTTACCTATCAGCTTTTTACAGCTATGTCTGGCGAAAAATACCTTTTCATAACTACTACTTACAAGCACTTGTATACCACTCTCCATGGCCTCACATAGAGTTAATCCACTAATAATCATGAGCTCCTTTTAAACTCTTCAGTATTGCCACTAATCAGCTTCTCTGTAAACGTCAATATCTCAACCTCAGCCTCTCCCTTGCATCTAAACTTTAGTAATCCAATTAGTAAGTTAGTTACCCTGCCTAGGCTGCGCCTGGAATTTATCTTTAAGCCATCATTGTCAAAAAGCAAGGCACGTTTCCCTCTGGGATCATACATTATGGCTTGAAAATAAATTATGGGAGATGCCAGCTATTCATGTGGAAATGGACACAGAGATACTGCTGCCTTCACAGCCTGGAAAAGGGATGCTGAACCAGGCAGAACTTTAGATCTAATCTATCAAACCCTTCTACCCTGAACAGAGGCATCTGAGTGTGATCTCTTCCTTTGTAGAAGGAACTCCAACTTTTCCTGTGGATTTGACCATAGAATCATAGAGTTGAAAGGGACATAAGAAGTCATCAAGTCCAATCCCCCAAACACTGCAGGAGTCATTGTACCATCCCTGATAGATGACTGTCCTGCCTCTTTTTGAAAGCCTCCAGTGAAGGGGAAGAAACCACTCCATGCGGTAATCTATTCCACTGATTGTCAGCACTTACTGTTAAGATGTTCTTCCTAATGTCTAATCTGTATCTACATCATACTTGATACTTAACTCAAATTAAGGGTATTGTTCTCTGAGTATGTGCAAAATCATATTCTGATAGGAAGACATTCATTTGAGCACAATGTGTTTCTACAGATCAGAATTCCTTACATGAATGTCCTCCTATTGAAAGACAAAACATTCTCCATACTGTGCAAAATATTTCATGTTTAAAACCTCCAGGAAAGGTGTCTACAAACTCCCGAAGCATCCTGTTGCAACGCTGAACAGTCAAAGCATTTGGTAATTGTTCCTGAGGTACAACCAACAACTACTTCTTTGCAGTTTAAACACAGTGTTTCTTGATCTGTCTTCTGAAACATCCCTAAATGATGATGCCCCTTCTTCTACATGACAGCCCTTCAGATCTTTGAAGATACCCATTACACCTCCCTGCAGTCTTCTCTTCATCAGGCTGAATATGCCCAAGATCTCCAACCATTCTTCACATGGTTTTCATTCTAGGAAATTCTTATCATTTTGAGAGTCCTACCCTGGACACAATCCCAATTTGTCAATGTCTTCCTAAAATACAGGGCATATATGCGGATGCAATATTCTGTGTGTAATCTAACCAACTCAGAATAGAGAGGAGCAATAACTTCCCTTGATTTTGGCACTACACTTCGGTTGTTGCAGCCTGGGATTGTGTCTGCTCTTTTGCCAGCCACATGTTGGCTGTTGGCTCACGTTCAACTTATGATCCACCAAGACAGCCAGGTATTTTCACATGTACTACCACTCAGTATAACGCCCCCCATCCTAAACTCATGCCTCTGATTTTTCCTTCCCAAAAAGACTAAGTTTGTGCCAGCTGAAACTCTTCTTGCTGGTTTCTGCCCAATGTTGCAGCTTGCCAAGGTCCTTTTAATCTTTAGTGTCTTCTAATGTGTTTGCTATTCTCCCATTTTCCTAAAAAGCAAGTGAACACCTTGTGAACAATCAACTTGCAACCCAATCCTATTCAGTTACTGGAAAAAAGTCCTTCTAAGCAGACCAATGAAATGCACAGAGTTGCAGCAATACACTCCGAGCTATCATGAGAGGTACAGCAAAGCAGATGCTCTGAATGCAGAATTCAGTCACCACCTCTATATTTCCAGGTGGGACTAGAATAGATTATTATGTGAAATTCTGAAGATCTAGTGTGACTTGCTTCCTGCCACAAAAGGAGTAAAAGTGATGTGTGAACCAAATACTAGGTAAATGAACTCTCTCTCATGGCCGCTTAAGAGATTCCTAAAATTAGTACTTCATGGCTTAATGATTCTCCTCTTCACCTACTGCCCGGTTCTACTATCACAAGGCCCAGGTCAATCGCTCACAATACCATTTCTTCAGCAAACTCAATTTCCTTCATTTTGCCTTCATTATTCCCATAGACATTCCTTTCCACACATAAATTTCCACTGCCAACTTGTTCGTTCCAGTCTATAAAATATAAATATCCAGTCCCTTTGAGCTTGTCATAAATTTCAAGACTCCAAGGGCGAAAGTGGTGGTTGGGAAATGGCAAAATCCTTTCCATAGTAACAGAAAGAAAGAAAGTAGTTTTGAAAATAACATGCAGAAAGAACTCTTTATTCTTCAAGAGCCTTTCCATTTGCTCCAGTTGATAAGCAGTAATTTCTGCACTTGTTATCTCAGGCAGCTTTGTGTTGTTTGCAAGAACGGCCAACCTATTTTCTCATCATTCCACATGTTGAGTTTGTCTCTTTAAACCCCGCAGCAGCTGCAGGGACCAAAACAACAGGACAGAAGCAGAGAATTCTCCTGGAGCAGAAATATTGAAAGCAGAGCCACGTTGCACAAAGAAGAAAACCAACCCTACCTCTTGCTGAGAGCTTCTTGGTGTTGATAATCTTTGCTGCGTATTCATGTCCAGTGCAAAGTTTGACACAGCGTCGCACAACTGAAAAAGCCCCCCTAAAGAAGGCAAGGAGAAAAGAGAGATTAATGGCTGCCTTGTGGGAGAATTTCATTGACATACTCGCTGCAAAATTCCTAATTCATCTTTTTTTTTAGAAAAAGGTATGGCTTTGTGCCCATTTGATTAGTGTGTTGATATTTAAACTATTTTTATCCTACTGTCTGGTTAACACTTTACAAATACCTATAGTCCATGCTCACACCCTAATAGATGTGACAGACAAGGAGAAGGTGATGGGGAAGGAAGAGAAAAGAACAAACTCAGTCACCAGCACTTAAGCTTACAATTCAGATTGCAACCAGCTGGAATCAAAGGGATTCATGATTTCCCAATGTACCTTTCCATATATAAGTATGACCCTTTATTCAGATTAGCAGAATCTCCACCAACAGAATCTCTCTCTGAACTAAGTTTTGTTGTATTAGCCTCACCCATCTCTGAACTGCCTCGAGATCTGTTAAATGATTCCACAGCTCCTAAGTGGAATATAGCCATTTGTACCTGGCATTCATAAACCCAACCCTACAGATGATTTCTCCCAATGGCTCCCAGTAGATATGAACTGAGGAACAAGATGGCAGCCTGGGCACTCAACAAGACAAAGGCCATAGAGAGAAGCCCTCAGCCCCCACTTTCTGGGTTTGGTTGTCTAAGGTAGACTAGAACCATAGTAATGCATGTTCCCTCTCCCTCAGCCCTATTCCAACAGAATATCACAGTTCATGTTACTGGAAACCAGAAAGAGACAGAAGGCAAATGCCAGGGTTCCACTTCTCTCTCCCATACTCTGACAGAAGACATCCACCAAGGCAGTCATGCCGGGCATTAAGATAGCAATTTTTAACAGCCAGAAAGTACATAGAATGAAAGGACGGGTGATTCATCCTCCTGGTACAGGATGAAATGAAGGTATCACATGGCATGAAAGGTGTTTGCTTAGCTACATCCATCTCGCTCTGCCAAAACCATGGTTTTGATGCAGAAATATGAACTTTCGGCTTGTGAAACAATGCAAGAGGCTGTACTTACACAAAATTCTGAACCATAAACTAGCCAAGCAAATGTTAGCAAATTATGTCGTAAAAAAAACAGACTGCACTGTTAGTTTATGGTTTAGCGCACTGTGCAACCCACCAAAACACGGTTAATGTTTTGTGTGAACAAAAGCAGGGAGTCATTACTCCAGGCGCTTATTCACCAAACTAGATTGATAATGGGCTCATATATCATGCTAAATCAAGGTTTGTTTTAATTGTGGTTTACCAAACAAGACATACTGGCTTTGTTCAGACCAAAACTACAGGTAGAACCACAACAGCTAGATTTATACAACAACTTAAACTAAAATGAAACAAAGCACGTTTTGATTTCATGTGCTGTGTGAACAGATCAAAATGTTGGGAGTGCATAAATCTTTGGTCTGACCTGGCAGAACTCATCTGATATGCTTAATGTGTTAGGCAGCTTCTACTTTTAGATCTGAAAAGTATTTATTAATGTTGAATCATCAAGAAACCTTCAAAGCTCAAAAGGAATTTAACATAGGTCTTCCCAGTCAAACAGTTTATCCTCTAGACTAAGCTGGTTTTTATCTGGAAACTCTTCCAATACACTCTTTTACATTTGGCTTTTGCACTAAAAAATACATTTATTTTTCTCACAACTGAGAGGCTTTAAAAATAGGCCACATAAACATCTCTCAGGGATTGTTAAACTAATTAATCCTGTTCTATTGTGGGACAATGAGCTTTTGGAAATATCATTCTATAACCTTTTCTGATTCTCAGAGTGGTATACAATGTTAGCCAGTGACCTCACATGCTCTCCTGTCAACAACTCCTAACAGCTGTCTCTTCCTCCTGCCACAATTCCAACCAGTAGGAAAACTGTAGGATTAGAGCAATGTTGATGTCACGTTTAAGGCCAAAAGTACAAGGCTCTTTGTTCTTCACTAGCTGCCTTTTAGAGAAACTGATAATTGTTTGGTGGATAAGAGAGGATCCAGGATACTGTTTTAATGGTGGCCAAGTGGATTCTGATGGGAGGTATGCCAAGCCTATAAAGGCAATACCGATCCTGCACAGTTCCTGCTCTTTTTTACCAGAGTGATATCTGGGAATTGATTTGATCTCCATTCAGCAGCCACGCTTAAAGCAGACCCACTGAAATGAATGAGACTGAAGTTAGACATGACAGATATTAGTTCCAGTGATTTCACTGAGTCGATCCAACCCATATTTTATCTACAGTCTGTTTTTAAAAATGATGTTGCAAATCAGTTGGAATTATTATTAACAATGTTTGAATTTTTATGTAGGGCGGTTCACATATGTAAAAGATAGCAATTATGGTCCCTGTCAAGGGTGGTTCCATCTAGCCATCCCATTTACTAGTCACTGATAAGCACACAAAGAGTTTGTTTCAATTCGTAACACAGAGATTCCATAAACAAACCCCCAATCGATGTGCAACAGAGCTGCTGATAACATAGCTCAGGTATAAAAATAGAACAGAGTATCATCTTAACTTTTTTATTTTCTGTGTTGTTTTGGTTTAGAATACAGGTAGTCGCCGGTTTAAGAACGAGTTCCATTCCCAAGGTCTGTCCTTAAGTCGAATATGTATGTAAGCCGGAACAGTATTATTGTGTAATACTGTGTAAGTAGTAATTCTGTAATGAACTCGATCCACTGTGTATTTAACTCAAATTTTGCTACAATAGGCTCTGTTCTTAACTATGGATTGCCTGTAACCCTGGCATTCTTAACCGGGGACTACTATAGTTGAGATCTGGAGAGTCCCAATGCTATTCTTATCAAGAGAGGATTTGGGTGCTTCTCATCCTACAGTGCATAGGACAGAAAATATTACAAAATGTATTTTATTTATTTATATAGCTACCTATCTCACATAGGTGACTCTGGGTGGCTTAGATTAAAAGCAAATAAAATATATAACATAAAATAAAAACACAGGGCAGCTGGGTTTCATCAAATAACCATCCACAAAGCCAAGAGGTGGGCTCTATCACATTTATGGGGCCCCGGGCCTGGGCACAGAACCAATTTTTAGGGCTTTGTAAAAGGCCAGCAGGATCAGAGCTAACCTAATCTCAGGTGGAATGATGTCCCACAGGAATCGGTGCTATGGCAGAAAAGGCCCTCTTCCTATTAGCAACACAAATATGATACTTAATACATTAAAGCAAGGTACTCAAGAGATGCATAAAAAATCAGTAGGCACCTCATGAATTTCAGCAGAAATTTTGAAAGGAAAGTGCAGTGCCCGTCCTGTTTGTGAATAACTACAAGATCACTCACAGCACACGCTGCTAGATGTCTTGGGATAACCTTAACAACTGACCAGATCTGTAACAGCAAAAGCAGTCTGCAAAGTAACATAGTCCAAAGTTGTTTAAGGCCCTATATATCAAAATCAGAATCTTGAATATGGCTCACCAGTTAATAATAAAGCAAAAGCAAAAAGCAAAAGCAAAAAAAAAAAATCCTTAAGGGAAAAAAAGCAAAGTATTTTGATCAATATTTAATTCCTCAAAGGATGCTAGCCTGCAAACACATTTTCACTGGGAATAGCTTCACTGGATTCTTGGCTTACTCCTGAGTAGATATGTATTATTATTATTATTATTA